ATATACAGGGTGGTCCTAAAATATATGTCAAAAATGTAAAGGTAGGTAGAGGGGACATAAATAAGCATATTTCGGATAGGAATGTGTGTGCGGTAATGGCACATTAAAGCACTAGCTTGTAAAGCAGTATGAATCAGAGGAATCTGAAAAGACAAGTAAAGACAAAAGAAAATAAAAATTCATCAACAGTTTAAAAGAGGTGCTCGAAAGAGCAGCTACCAACATCGATACAAGATTCACAGCGAAGGCGCATGGATCGGCGTACATTAGAAAAGACGTTAGGCATGTCGAGCACATGTAAAGTAGCAACAGACAAGCGGGAAACAAGATCTTCTTGATGGGACTCTCGTACACCAGACTTTTAATATGACCCCAAAAGAAAAAATCCAAGCAGGTTAAATCAGGAGAACACGGTGGCCAGGGAAATGGACCACCCCGTCCTATCCAATGCTGGCCGTAGACAGCATCCAGGTGATTTCTGACGTTCCCAGTACATCCTCTGAGCAGCTAATTCGTTTCCTTGGGCAGCCCCATACATGAAATGCAAGTTGGCAAGCTACACATTGGTGAAACGATGCATGCTGTTTGAGATCCGTGCGGGAATCCAGCTAGCAAGCGCTGTCATGCACCGCAGTCATCAGCGCTCCCTACCGGCTCAAGGCGGCATTTCCGCACACACAGTCCTATACGAAATATGCTTATTGCTTATTTAAGTCCCCTCTACCTACCTTTACATTTTTGACATATATTTTAGGACCACCCTGTATATATATATATATACACCAGAAACACATTAAGATTGAATCTTAGAGAAAATCCAGTCATACATGAATACATGTCTGAATTTTATGCAAGCTTGCATTTTGCTGTAGTCATTGAGAAAATTGCATTCAAATAGTTTCAAAAAGAGGTATTTCGCGTAATTTAGAGATTTGGAGGTCAATTTGTCAAGCTCGCCAAGTTGGTCACCAAATCATTTCATACAAATAATGCTAGAAAAAATAGATCAACATAAAATTAAAGTACTTTAGATACATTAAAGCAGCGTTCCCCAACCCCCGGTCCGTGGATCAAATGGTACCGGACTGCCCATTTCATTGAAACTGAATTTAAATTCTTAGGTCTATACCCCAAATTAGAAGTATCTGTGTTCCATTAAAATTTTAGCAGTAACAGCAACCAAAACAAAGCAACGGAATAAACTGGACATAAGCAACACATTTCGGGGATCATTGTCTCCGATTCCCCCAGATGGAACCGTCTCATTGCAAAGAAACAAGCTCAGGGTTCTCATTGATTTAACGTTCTAGTAAGTTAAAATGTTAAATCACTTTATATATATCTTTTGGTGTAACTATATTTTATTTTGAAGGCATGTTTAGATACAATTAAATTTTAATTAATGGATCAAAATAATCTAAAATATAAACAATCAACGTCCCCTCCCCCTCTCCCAGCCGGCCGCGGTAAAATTATCAAATGTTGACAGGTCCGCGGTTATCAAAAGGTTGGGGAACACTGCATTAAAGCATCATTTCAAACGTACACGAACAACTGATTCATACCAGGAAGACACCCTTAGCGGTGTGAGATGTCATTTTTGCTCATGGATTGTTAGGCAATATTTTATTATTTCTAGGATGTACCCTTTTCACGCAAGTCTGTAGCCGCAGTACTAAATTACCCTGAATAGCACAAACATGCCCTTTCTTCACTTTAAACTTTTTAATACACGTATTATATTAGATTTTACAAAGCTTCAAAGTTGTATAGATAATTTCTAAACACCCTGCATGATCAATATGCATAAAACATACCTGCGAATAAGCTTGCACTGGATGCCGACAATCGAAATTGATTTTCCATGTACTTGGGTAACATAATATAATAGCCAAAATTGCCATACACTGTGAAAACAGCGTTTAATCCAATCAGCATATATAATGGATTCCTTGCCAATCTTTTTAGTGAATCACCGAGTCCTATAATAAACACAAAAACACAATCTGAAGCTATTTTTCATAAAAAAATATTTATTGCGTTGTTACCGCTGAAGCTCGAAAGTCGTTTATATGCTCATTACATATCTAATCTGCTGAGTTAATCCGTTAAAGTGCGAATTTAAGTGTTTACCGCAAATTTCATTCTGTGCGCATTCCGTATCGTTAAAACTTGAAAGTTCTGATTCTATCACCTCATTCGTTGATTGTAATGATTGACTTTATTTTTTGGATTTAGAAAAGCAAATAAATGTCACTATGTTAATTGTACTAATATTTTAAACCGTTTAATTCTCTGTATATTATAGTTAGTAAAAGGATCAATCAATCCATCAATTCATTCTATCAATCAATGCGTTGATTCAAGACACATCAAATAAATTTCAGAATTAATTTGAAAACTCAAGTGATTGCAAAAGCAAAAACTTGATGAGTTTTTTTTTGAAGATAGCGAACAATAAATAGGTAACATTCTGTTAATTTATCGCTTAAATAAGTACTTAGTAGGTAGCGTGCAAATTACTTTTTTTATTTGAGAAATGAAGGAATTTTTTGACATTTTAACCGACCACCTTAGTTAATCTGCACACTATCTATTCAATCTGTTGCAGAATTGTTGTACTGTTTTCTACACTTTAACGGTAACATGTAAATAAATAGATAAATGAAAATTATTGTTCCAGTCGAGGAAAATGCAATTCAATATAAAGTAACAAAAAAAAAAAGAAGTTGCTTTTATGGACATGCTTGTACAGAGGGTTGTTTTAATTCTTTTCATTCTTTGGAGATCACTGAGTGAGTTCTCAGAAAAAACCGCAATCTGGAAAAAGAAATTTAAATTTAAAATATTCAGTAAAGTTTATTTTTTTCAAACTATTCATTTAGTAAACTGTGGCAGCTATATTAGATAGGTATTCGGCGTGAAGTACTTAAATAGGGAGAAATCCAGGGTTGGGCCGTTCAACGTAACTTATTTGCATTGTATTATTTATTTTGTACCATTTGAGCTTATAATAGCACGTGTGTTACAGTTGATATGATTTTTCGGTTATTTATAATACTAACTACCGATTGATAAGAACAACTAAGAAATTGAATATTAGTTATTGCGAATTATCACATTAACTGAATCATTATTAACAATGACCGCGATATTTTAATTTACGGCTCAAAAAAGTACTTTCTCTGAATAAACATGTTTTTTTTTTCTCAAGACGTATTTGATTTTTTTTAACAATGTGAGTAAGAGATGTTTAGAAAATATAGTCCCAATAGTTTAGTCAGCAGATCAGTGAAACTTTGATTTTGTGTAGTTCGCGATACTTGTGGAACTTTTCAAGAGAACTCAAAATATTTTTGCACTTAATTGTAAAGCAAGTTTGCCCGCAAAGATACATAAATCAATTTTAATATTTATTTTGAATTTTTTATTCCTACAATTACTCATGCTCCAAAGGTGTTTGAATAGTAAAGTATTGAAATTTTTCCCTCCAATTAAAATGTGTAATTTAAAAAGATAAAATAAAAAATTTGAATGAAATCGGTTAAATAGTTCCTTAGAAAATGCAAGTTTAAAAATATGATTTTATTGAAATTTTATTACTCCGAATCTATTTGGCTTCAAATTAGTACTTAGTTATTTAAAACGACTCAGTTTAAATGTGTGTACCCTAAAGCTCAAAAGCTTTCGACTTGTATTAAATAAAAGAATAAAATAATAATTAATTGTAAATAATTATTTGCAGGAAATTATCTTTGGAACCATTTCTATAATTGTATGACAAAAGTTTGCGATAGGCATAAAAAAAATGCGAGATATGACAAATGAAATAAACATTTAGGACCCTAAATATTTGATCACTTTCCTGACTAACCTATAGGGATCATATTTTAAACTTTTCAGCTATTTTATATTCTATATTTTGAGGGCCAGTAACAATTCGAATTCATCGGGAAAAATTTATGGGGAGAAAATGTGTATTTGAGTCATAACTTAAAAGCATTGTTTGCTCTAATTAATTAGTCACCCCTTTGAAACTTAGTTCAGGAAAACCCCTTTGCTTAAGTTATTAGGGGTAATATTGCGCATTGCACAATTAAATGTTACATTACATACATGCTGTCCGAGGGATAAAAGTTTGAGCAAAATCATGAGAAATTGTAGTCAAAACTTTTTTTAGAAAATATATGTATAGCATTTTCTATCCTGCGATGCACGCGAGAAGTTTTGTTTGAGTCATATTTCAATGATTTTTCTTTCAAAATGTTTTTAAAAGAAAGTTCTTTTGGAATTAAGGAAGGAGTGTTTTATAAATTAAGAATAAGTTGTACATGTTTTAAAATATAACCCAAATGATACGCGATTGATGAGATACAATCGTATAATTTGAATAATATTTTTAACGTTCAAAATCCTTATTCGGAATTTACAATTCAAACAAATAGAAATATTTTCCAGCTGTTATTATTTGTGAGTGCCTCTAACTATTTTATTTTATTATTACTTTTTTAAGGAAATGAATACGAAATAAAGAAAATTTTCGCTATTGAAAAGTTTTATTATTCTTCATTTAATATGTTCTAATAGGTATACAAAAAATCGCTTTACTTACCATCGAACATACTGTTAGTGTTGTGTTCTATTTCATGGAGTAAATGATCCGGAAGACGTCTCGGGAAGAGAGCCATGGGTCCGGCAAATATCAGAAGTAGGAAACCTTGCAACACAAAGCCCATCCACCAACCCCCAATCCAACGGGGATCATCAGGACCAAAGTCAGGAGTCTCTGAAAGTTTAAAAAGTTGTTTGTAACATGAACATTTTGGGGCAACAGTCACCTCATCTTCTTGTATTGTTATTTTATAAGCGACGTTTAACAACTTTTTATGGCAATCCATTTTCTAATCCATAGCCTTGTCATTTCGAACCCAGTGCAGTAGACAAGGAACTCCTGGATCAAGGATTGGGACAAAGCATTCTGCGTGAGAAATTGGAAAAACCTGAAAACTTCCCACGGTTAGCCCGATGATAACCGTGGGAACCCGATTCTAAACCATGAGTTAGCTAATATTGAGGATATTTTATGTCAGTAAAGTGGTCGGTGCGAGCCGGGAGCAGAATTCGAATCGATCTGTCATCACTGAGACTCGAACCTAGTTCCCCTCATTGGGGAGTTAGCGCTTTATTCCACGAGTCACTGCTGCTCTCATGTTATCATTTATCATAATATTGAAATGGAAAAACTCCATTATCTTCTAATATTTTTAAGGTGGGAAAAGTCGACAAGTTTCGTGTGCTCAACATAGATGTCTTTGATCAAGACCAACTTACATGAGAATGATGAAACCAGAGCAGATTTGAATTTAAAAAAACTAACATTGCCAATAAAAAATTGAAAAAATAATAATAAATAGTGAAAACAAATTCTATAAAATCACGGTAGACGAGAGGAGTAAGAAGAGTAACTGTGAAACGGAGGGGGGGGGGTTCAAATCAGTACCTGCATGACAGGATACATTTCCAGGCAGAATGAAGAATGGTATTCTTCCCAGGAGCGACTTTCCAATCAAGTGGTGTTTAATGACTCATAATGATTCAACTCTTTGACCTTCTCTTAAAAATAAATAAATAAAATAAAAGAAGACTTAATTCTTGACTTATTTTTAGTTCAATTAACAGATTTTAAAATAAATGAAATCTTACATTATAATCGCTACCCATTACATCCAAAAGAAAAATCACCAAAAAAGAGATCAAGTTGTTAAATACCGATGGATAGCAAATAAGCTGCCCGGGTTCCCTCCATTACGCGAGAAAATGTTAATAAGTATATATAATGCTTTCAAAAGATTACGATGAAAAAAACTAGAAGATTTTTATTGAATAATGAAGTCACATCCAGAGTCATATTTTTTTTTTTTTTTTTTTTTTTTTTTTTTTTTNTTGGTTTTTTTTTTTTTTTTTGCTTTCAGACGGGTTCTTCTGTATCCACGTATTCATTTATTCCTTTTAATTATTCTAAATATTTACTTTTCACCTTTTATAATACTAAAATTACGATAAGTAAACAGAGTGCCAAAAAGTAATGAAAAAGTAACGGATAGCAATCTATAGAAAATTGGCGAAAAAGACACCAGAAGATAATCATGTAACGTAATAAATTTTCCTGTTAATGTCTAAGAAGTCAAAGAAAAGGAACCTCGAAACAGAATTTTACATCTGTTAAGTAATTTAAAAAAAAAATGTTTTCTTTTATAGCCGGGTTTGAACAGCCAACTTATTTTTGGGTTCCTTACCCTTAATCATTTTGAACAAGAAAACGTGTGGGTCAAGTAATGAGACAAACCGAGTTTTTATTGAATTAACCCCCATTCGTGTTACGTGGAGACGAAAACTTCCTACGGCGCGCCTGACAAAAGAATTTTTTAAGCCATGGTCTTTGTCCTACTGAAGATATTTTTTATGATACGACAGCATTGTGATTGGTACAAGCCAGTAGCAGAGTTCATATCGACCATTGCTGGGATTCGAACCTGAATCACCTCATTGGAAGACGAACGTTCTGTCCCCTGAGCCACTGAAGCTTAAAGTTAGCTGTTATAGAGAAAGTAATTAAGAATCAAATCTAAAAATAAATGAAATTAAATATGTATTTGCTTCTCATAAACTTACCGAATGGATTTTCATAGTACTTTAAGAATGCTGATGACATTAGAAATCCTACCATTGGACCCAATAAGCGAAGGGCGAATGCAACAGCTGCAAAAGATATAAAATATTTTGAAAATCATTGCAACGATCATTGCATCACCATTTCAGCCATAGGATATTTTCTAGCATTCACAAAATGTTTTAATTTTCTGTTTATAGGATGATACTAAAAAACACCATGAATCAAAAATAATAAGATAAATAAACATCTGGTCGTTAAGCGTTCACTTGTTGTGTCAGAATAGTAAAAAAATATTATGAAGTTAAATTGCTTTTTCTTAATTCTATTTTAAATAAAGAAAATGTTTAGATAAACACAAAATTCTTGTCTATTCTAGACGATCGAAATAGTTTGATTAAATAGCAATAGATCAAATATGTGCATTCCTTTTTAAAAATATGTGGATCAAATACGTATTATTTTCAAAAAGTGAACACTGAGAAAAAAATTCTGTAAGTGAAATAACCGCACAGTAAGGCACTAAGATTTCTGATAAAAGAAATCATAATTCTGGTTAATAAAATCAAAACATGCGGTATTCAAATCATTCATTTCGTGATTTTTCCTGTTCCTATGTAATCTGATTCCTGGAAATTCCGGTCTTTAAAAATTTTAATTCTTATTACCACACATTTAGTAAAAAGAGCAAAGTAAATTTAATCGTAAGAATGGTTTTTATGCTATGGTATAAATATAAAATTACCCAATTTTACCACATTTATCAAAAATTTATCACGTGCTATAAATCCATATTTTTTAGTTAATTTTACCAATATCATTACCGAAGCACTTCAGTAAAAATTTCCGAGTTTTTTGGTGTTTATGTGTGCTAGAAACACGTTACTTTATTCTAGTAGTTCCGACCATACATTTTTTCACAGAAGACATAAATATGTGAATCCTTTAAAAAGAGAATGTGTTAAAATGGGTGGGTCAAATATTTATGTTCAATTTGTGTGGATCAGATAAAAATATATTTGTGTTACACATTAAGAAATGTATAAATGTGTATCAAATTTGTGCGCTCAAATGTGTGTTTCAAAGATGTGTATTCATAATGTGAGGTCATCAAATATATGTGCTTATTATTAAAATGTAGCTTCAAAATGAAAGTATCAAAGAAGAGTGTTCATTTTTGAAGAAGCGTGTATAAATGACGTTTGTTTATTCATACAAACGTGTGTTTATATTATACGTGTGTCATATTTTTGAAACTTTATTCCTTATTTCTTTACTTATGTTTATATTTACTTTGAATGTAGAAGTTTCACTTTATTTATTTAAAAGAGAGGACGCAAAGCGCATAACTGCAGATTAAAAAAATGACATGAATATTTATCTGAAACTTATCCAGTAATAAATTTTATACACAAATTGTTTATATTTTAACTTAAATAATGAATAAGTGACATGGTTTCAAGACAAAATTGTTTAATTCTGACCCCAAATTTTTTTTCTTTATAAAATATAGTTGATGAAACATTTACATTAATTAAGATAAAAATAGATAAAAAAAATCTACTTGACATATAAACATTTAACTACATAAATCTCTCATTGAGTACATCTCAATTTTTTGAATAAATTTTGGCATTTTCTGAAAATTAAAAGAATGAAGAATATTAAAAAGTTCAAAAGTAGAACAATAATATGTTAGACAATACTTGGCACAATTTTATAAATTTTTCGTTCTATACAAAACTCCTGTGACTGATTGGTTTTAATCTCAATGAAGGTAATAAATTCAATTCAAAGTAACTTTTGAACTCTTTCTACGTCAAATATATGTCTTACTACTTGAGTCTTTGTTTCATGACTAAAACGCGAAGAAATCCCCTATAAAAATGTCCTACACTATACAAAAAACTTAAATGCATCATCATTTTATATATTAATTAAAAATAAATAAGTTGAATGAGTTGAAAATGATAAGTTAATTATTCTTACAAATTTTCGATATCAAAAGTTTATTAAATAAGGACATCGTTCACTGTAGAAACCGTGAAACAATATTTCTTTGCTTCATTTTATATCAACTCAATTCAATTATTTTCTAAGGCATCTGTCTTAAAATTAACATAGTTTACATAGTCTATTTGTACCAGAATATTTGTCCCAAGATTTCAAAATGTTGTTCCTGCGAATAGTGATAGTTTTAAAAACATTGCTTGTTGCTTTTTCATTAGTAGCAACACCGCCTGTTAACGAACTTATTTATCGTTGCTCAAAATTTTGTAAGAATACGCATTTCGTTTCTAGAGCAGAAGGCAGCAAAACGCACTTTTATAAATTCTTCGATCTTTAAAAACGTCAATTATGTTTAAAACAACCGGTATAACATAAAGAAAAATTTAAAGTAATTGATTGTAGAGATTTGCAGTTGCATTACACGTGAAAAGAAGAAACATTAGAAAGTGCTTAGAGTTGTACGACCAATCTTTGTTAAGCTTTCAATACCCTTGAAAAATTTAGAAGAAATTGTTAAATTTACTAATTCATTTTCAGGAAAGGAATATTGTATTGACTTAGTTTGCAAAAACTAATTACAAATTTCGCAGTGATTCGAATTTTCCTAGTATTATATCAAGTGTTTTAAAAAATAAATAAAAATTAAATTTTTTCAAGCTAATTTTCGTCACCTACAAAATGTTACTTACCAAAATAAAGAGGCGTATTTCTCTTTTTGGCATTATCGTCAAGATAAGCTAATCCAATCGCATAATAAGCCAAATTCCCAAATCCTTTTAAGAAACTCCCCAACATTAGCAACAGAATAGCCGTTAATGTCGGTGGCCGATCATCCTCATCGCAGTGTTCCATTCGAACGTCACCATTGCACATTTCTGTACTTGTATTATTGTGCACACTCCCGATTGAGCTTAAGTGAGTGGCTGTTCCATACAGGAAATAGGGCAAGGCGGATGCAAAACAACAGAAAGCTGACAAGAACATGCCGAAACTCAACAGTCGGGGCCTGTGTGCTCTTCCGCCGAAATGGCCTACCAGCACACCCAAAAAAAGAGGCGTCAATTCGTCCAACATCATAATAAATCCACTAGTCTTGCTTTTGAATTCGAATCGTTTTTCCAATGTTGTTAAAACTCCGACAAGGTACGTATAGTAAGATCCATGTAATATCCCTATAATTGAGTACAAAATTACATAAACATTTGCTGTGGCATAGGATTGAATGCATTGTGGCTTAAATGGACCAAATCCGCATTGTGTGTCGAAATCTATTTCATCCATCACCTCTATGCGATCTATGCTATGTTTAGAGCCAACCGGTATATCCTTCATAGCTATGGATGTGGTAACATTCTGGGAAGAAATGTTCGAGAATGTTTGCAGAGATTCTTCCTCGGGAATGTCCGCCAAACAGATTTCTTCTAATGGGTTGATGTGATCCACCACACCTTTTCCACCACTTTCCACCTCTTTGTCTGGGACAGCTGCAATTATTTCAGTATCATTTGGTGATTCGACATCATTTATACTCGAAGGTGTTTTGTCTTCGCCTACGGTTGAGTCACGATGTTGCAATATCACTTTGACTTCATCACCAGCAGTTTGCAGCACAGTGTTTACCACCTCGGTGCTCAATCTTCGAATATCTTCCATGCTTAACTTGCTTCTTCTTTTCAAACCTACAGAGACATTTGAGTCACTGGAATCAACCTGCTGAACAACGTCTTTGGACGTTGCTTGCTGTTCGTCTGTTTCTAGACCAAGTGTAGATTTCAAACGTTTCTCTGCTTGCCTCAAACCTTCTTCGATATGTGTTATTTGGTAGGGATTCTCATCATCCGAATTTTCTTCATTTTGAGTTTCTTCCAATTTATCACTCACACTATCGAGGTTTTGTTCCAAATCCGGAACGTCGCTTTCTTCTTCAGATTTTGCATCCGATTTAGAAGGTGTGTTATCATTGCTTTGAGAAATGACTTTTTCCTTTTCACTTTTTGAATGGTCATTTATAGTTTTATGTTCGTCGATAGCTGCATTTATGTCACTTTTAGCTTTTGCAAAAGAAATTTCTTCATTTTGAAGGTGAGTTAAAACGACTTTCGATTCATCGATATCTTGATTGCTGTCAGAGCTGGTAGAAGGGTCATTCACTTCGCCTTCAGTGACAGGTTTTACAATTTCGAAATTTTTGCCTTGTTCCAATATATCGGGAAACTGTTCACGTTCGGCTTCTTCTAAAGAATCAGGCTGAAATCCTATTATATCAGGCAATGGCTGAGGAGTTAAATTCGGATAATTTATTTCGTTGTAGTAGGGGGGTAAAATTTCAGACTGCGGATGGGAATTTTCTTCATCCATGAGTGATTCTTCAGTGGGTGATACATCAATCTTTTCGGAATTTTTCTCATTGGAAGAATTAGATTTAACTTTAACATCCTTGGTTGAATCGTGAGCTGCGTTTGTATCCGTTTCTTCATCTTCAAGACCGAGAAAAGCTTTGATTCGGCTGGTGTATTCCAACACAGATTCTAAACGTACTGAAGTGGGTCGTTCACTAACATCATGATTTCTGTAAATTTTATGAACGCTACTTCCCTCTCCATTTTCCTCCATTGATAATTTCAAATCAGTATCTGCATCACCGCTTTCAGCATTCGAGTCAATCATCGGAGTGTCAGAAGATGCGCTCTCCGCGAGAGTTGAACTCAGATTCACGGTCATGAAAGTAAATGTCTATTTGGACGAATTATTATCTGATAGTAGTTTGACCTCACTTCATTGGTCAAGATCAAAAAATGTTTACAAATTATTCTAAAAATGAAGATATAGTTTCTCGCATAAAACTGAAGATAAAAATGCATGGAACAATCGCCTTTGTATAAGAACATGAAATCTAAACTGACATCAACATTAAAAGGGAAGGAAAAAAAAGATTCGTAAAATGATTATGAAAATAAAATACAAAAAAAAATTCAAATGCAGAATAGAGATTCTTCGGTGTTGAATACAATGAAAAATTATTTCAAGAGATTGAAAAAAAATTTATACAGTATAAGAACTCTTGTATAAGAACAGGGAATTCTATTCAATATCAAGACGAAAATACGTGCATAGGTTAATGATTATAAAAACTAACACTGGACAAAATTTATTTTTTTGAACAAAGGAAAACTTTTTTTAAAGTTAAAACAAATAAAATAATAAATTATACAGTTAATGAAAATATAATATACATTCGACATTTCTATTAGAATAAAAACAGGGAAACTTACTTAATATTAAAATGAAACGATTTGTGAGCATAAATTTAGGGAAAAAATAATTTTTGCGTATGCAAATAACAATAACGGTTCATTTTGTTTCAGTAACGAAAAATTACTCACTGCTGAATTTCATACTCTGTAAATGTGTAATTTCAACAAATGAGATGATTTGAGAAAGTCATGGCTAGAAATATGCTGAAAGAGAAGAAGGATTACTATAAAAAGTTCTTTCAATGAACGAACATTAATGCTCGGAATAATGTATCCATCTGTCTAAATGCTCGGAATAAAAGTATCCATCTGTCAAAAGAAAAAAATTATAGAATTAAAATAAAACTTTTAAATATTCTTCGTTCAAATGGACTGAAAAAGAGAAAACAATTTTATTTTCTAAAAAGAACTCTTGCACCACTTTCGTAATAAATTTTTAATTCCTCCGAAAAATCCCCCTACGCTATAAATATCGAATACACGTTCCACATTAAATAGAATTATTTACTTCGTTTCAATTGACTTGAAAGCAATGGTTTTTAGAACTTTCTCTTTTATTGTTCCAATTTATATTTATATATTTAAGTCCTGCTTCCAGTTCGGTGACTAACTTTTTAAATCGAAAGCACTTCAGTAAAATTTTATTAAACTATGTAATAAGTGCATAAAATGATGATTTACCTAAAACGACCATTTGAGGTCAAAATAACTAGATCCGCACTCTACGTTTATTTTTCTTCTTCAGATTAAATATTCATCCTGCTGCTTTCCAACCCCTCGTATTTGCTTACGTCATTGTCAATTGTTTCTATTAAGATCGCTACGAAATATGAGTTCGCTTAGAAATGACTTGTCATACAAACCGAGGTAAAGGAAAACATTTTGTGAAACATTCTAATTTCTTTTTTAAACCAGTGAAAAATCTCAAAATTCAATAAGCAGCTCTTGCCATTAAAAATTTAAAAAAAATATTCAATACATCGGAAAAAAGATTATGAAATTTATTATTGTGGCTGTGGAACTTAAAACCCTATCTTGTGTGAACATGTCCTTACGTTCCTTTGTAAAACACAAATGTCCCAACCGATATCTTTTTACGGCCTAAAAACTTGTTTACTCTTTATGGGCAAAAAGAATTTGAATGGTTGTCACAATCCAGCTAAATTAGCAGACTATCACTTACCTTGCAAGTTTTATTCATTTATTTTTTTTAAATATTTTATGACAGGACCAAAAAACTATTATTATATAAGTAAACTGAAAAAAAAATGTCTGCATCTTCAGCACCATACGAACTATGAATATTTTTAAAATCCTAAAAATCTCCTTGAGTCTATTTGAAAAAAATCTTTTATTAACTTAAAATCTAAAAATCGCCGTCACAAAACAAACAGGATCGTTATGACTGAAACTTATTCGTGGAAAATGATAAGAAATTTTCGTCAGTAACTTTTATTTCAAACTATGTGTAAATATCTACTATGGTATAAAACAGTTTTACGTCAAAATTTTTGTTGAATTTTTTTTTTTACATACAAAAAATACCATTAAACATACTGCATAACGTTAAAATTATTAACAAATAACTGGCTCTAGCTATTTATTATGATATTTGAATTAAAACTCAAATATTTATGCTTATTTTCTTAGGGTAGTCAAAATGACTGCATTTTTTGTTCTAGGTAGGTAAAAAATATGAATCGTTCTAGTGTTGAATGTTATAGAATAAGTTTTTAACAGCATTCTATTTTATCAGTAAAATTGAAATGAGTTTTTAATTTCTATGGACAAAGCAATAAAATGGCAATCATAAGTTTTTTAAGCAAGAAAAAAAAAGAATGGTGGTTGTTTGCCACGGTATCTATTAAAATCAATGCGCTGTATTAAACAAATTTAATTACTAAGTTTTCATTTACAGAAACAAAATATTATCAATTTTTTGGATCTCCAGTATTACAATTTCTTAAAATAAGTGATTCCATTCATTGTGTCGATAACTGTATAAAGTGGGGATAATCAGATTCACAATAAAAAATAATTTTTTAGAAATATCATTTTTACTTTTTGACTTTAATTTTTTTTTACTCATTGGAGTGAAAATAACAGTATCAATTCTGTAATTGGAGAAAACGAAATTTCATAACCCTTGAGTTATAAAATTTCATTTCGCCTTGAAAGATATTTGAACATGTTATTAGATATTAGCGGGATCACTTAATAAACATTTTATGTAAAAATTTAGTCAAAGAGTAATGAAATTTGATTTTACCTTAAAAGATTATTTGTATAAACGCGTTATAAGTACGAATTTTATAAAAAAAATATTGTCCTATGTGGGTTATGTAATTTTAGTGAACGCTAAAAGTATTTTATGCATGTGAATAAATTTTAGTTCAAGATTTATTTGTATATCTTTTGTTTCGTAGTATCTTTTGTTTCGAGGTATCTTTTTTATTTCGTATGTACGTATTTATTCGCATTCTAGTTACCTTCAAAGCTATTTCGAAATTGTGCAGTGAAAATTATCACAATGATTCATATTATCGCCAAAATCATAAATCAACAAAATTCTCAGTATCTTACTTTTAAACCAGACTTAACTACTACCATCTAGTTCCGATAACATGGGTGGTGGTCAGTTTCTTTATCTTTGTTAGTCATAATACAAAACAGCTGTGGTATTTATCAGATTCGAACTTCAAGTTTATAAGAAAGATAAATCAATCTACTTTACCTTTTACTCAATTTAAAAAATATTGCCTGGACAAAATATTAAATGCACTGAATATGAGACTTGGAGTCAATTTTGTTGGCCTGATGACAACGGCTACATTTTTGTTGTCATTTTATTTATACGTTTGGCATTTTTTTCGCATGGGTCAAGTTAACCTTTCAACACAAAACTGCATCTGCAGTTGTTCAGATGACGTTATGAAATCTGCAAGTTTGGTGTCGAAAATAGAATACATTGGAGTAAAAGGCAACGGAAGTTGTGATTGCAAGGAGTTTCTTTTGCCAAAACTTTCGGAAGTTTGGATACAGGCTTCGCCCAATGAAACCTGCCAGTTGTGTACTTGTAGAAAAATCACGGAAATGGACTGTGAAAATGGAGAAGTAACATTCCGAACGATTTACCTTTATGTAACTCTCACGTTCATCCTGATAGCTATTCTCATGTGGTGTGACATCGGAATACGTATGTGTGAACGCAGAAGACGAGTGAACAGAGTTGGGTATGTACACATTCAGAACGATCCGATTGAGCGTGTGTTCGACTATTTATCTCAAAGAGACGCGAGGAATAAAATGCGACAGAATCTATTGCAACAAAAAACTGATGAACGCTATCACACTATTAATAGATAAAGTAAATAATGCAGCTTGATTGAAATGCTGTACATTTCAAGGATTTGTTTTTCTTTCCATAGACACTTTCATTCATTAATAATTACTGTAATTGCATTGTTAGATGTGAAGAATGCATTGGTAATGTATATAAAATATTTTTTGAGTTAAAGTAGTTTTTTTTATGTAGTTTTTGATGTTTTGCATTTTTTATGAATTTTAAGAACTCACATGATTACTTTCCTTTCGTTCTTAAGTTTCCTCTCGACCCAATTGAGAGGGGGAGTAGAAGACGTGGAATCATTCCAAATATCATTTAATTTTCGCAAACTGACTGATGTTGAATATTAACTCTACTTAAAAGTAGCATCTTTCATTACAAGTTCATTTAATTAGATTGGAATTAGAATCGATGGCATTATTTTGAATTTTAATTGATATTTTAATCAAATTATAGGTATACAATTAACGTGTATGTAACAGTATTTTATCTTTATCTGTTCTGGAATTTCGGATTTTCACTTTGATGAAGAAAATTTTTTAAAATTATGCAAATCGTCTGTCATAAGTTTAGGAAATAATAAAAGCAAAAAAATTTTAAAATCCTGATACGGGCATGTACATTGAAATTAGCCATTTATTATGCTTATCAGCTTCATTTCGTTGCTTTACACTTGTGAAAAAAAAGTAGAGCGTGGGATTCTAAGCTTATCAAATTCTATTTCTCCTCTTCGATTTAATTTTAAAAATATGAAGATTGGAAATTATGCACAAGCATAAGAAAACAGAATTCTTTATAGTATTTTGTAGTGTTTAGTTCACTTGACAACGGGTGAAACCCTTATCCAAAAACTCCTTCGGGGCTTACTATTAGTCTTATAGTACATATATTTTAACTAATTTAAAGTAGAAAAAACTGTTTTATGCTAAGAAACAAAAATTATTGCGAAGCGATCATGAGGGGTCGGGGAGTAGGATTCTTTGCCCGTTAGTTATTCAACAATAGTAAAAAATTTTTGTTGAAATTTAAAGAAAACTTTCACATTTTACATAATTAATAATGACGTCACCAAGAATGTAATCAGTCGGAACATTATCAGGAAATGAAAATTTGAAAACATTATAATTCAATAACTATTTTGTATTTGTCATTTAAAATTAAAACAATTCGAACAATGTGAAAGTATTTTAAAACATTTTTGTCACTAATTAAAATAAACAAATGAAAAAAATAATGAATAGTTACAAAAGGTATTTTTAATGTGGAAATATCTACGGATAAACAAGCTGCA